GAGAGAGAGCGAGAGAGATGATAATTTATATATTTTCTATTTTAAAATTAAACCTGTCATTAATGATATTCATCTTACTTATTAATTTATTCGAAAGATAAGATTATATGTGATACATGATATCCAAATATATAACATTTTCTTACGTTTATCTGACGCGTAAAATGTTAAGCGATTTTCAGAGCGTAGCACGAAAAGAATTTTGATATATCAACAGGATATCAACCAGTTATGCATGACAAAAACGATATACCTGCGCGAACATACGACCTCGAACCTTGGTATATCTCTCTCTAATCGCAAGGAAAGTGGAATATACCGTAAAATGTATATCAGAATGAAACTATAATATAAATGCGTCGTAATACGCACGGTGCCTATAGACGCAGTTAAACTATGCGTCATGGTTCACCGCAGAAACAACAATTATGTGAAAAAATGATTATTGCATGGCGTGAAGGTCGTTGCGGAGCAACAAGAGTCGCTATTCGAGTGATCATACGCTGCAGAGATATTTCCCTGGCCTATCTTACCGGCTTCTAATATTTTATGGCTTATGGAAGTTAACATGCCGATTAAATGCAAATTCGTTGCAAGCGATTAAATCGCAAACACCGAAGAGGCAGCGTCGTGGAAAGATCGTAAACAGCCTGACATACCATCATTGAATATCAAAATGTCGCGCTTGGATCGATATAAAAAAGAAAATTGATTGAATCGTTGATTTGTCGCACTTCGAATACCTATAAAAGAGATTAGCGCAAAATGATGAATGTTGTCGCTGTAATAATCCGACATATGGTAGTGTGCGATGGGAATAATAAGAAGTTCAATTGCACTGAGTAACGAGGAATTAGGTGACATAATGATTTACTAAGAAACAGCTGTCAAAGAACAGGCATGACATAACAGACTCTAACGAGCCGGAACTTGTTACTTTCCTTATAAAAGTTGGCCGTTATATCACACGCACCGTATGTTAACGGTGAATGGTGATGGCGAGAATACTTTTTAATTTAAATATAATTAAATAGTTTTTATGTACCGTAAAAGAAAAAAAAAGTGAAAGAGAAAGGAATATTGCCATATACTCGCCATATATATATATATATTTTATATATCAAGACACTAAATGATCCTTCAGCATGCTTCGTTCTTTCCAGGATACCAATTTTCTAGATCTCGTCAGCCGATACTTCTCCTAAGCCTAAAATCACATCGCACAATATAACCTAGTATGAGGAGGCGCCGCATTGGCGTGGACCTTCTATTACTCCGTGTCGTCCTAACGATTCCCTTTATCTCCAAACCTTGGTTACCGGGTCATATGACCATCCCTAAGTGGCTGCGCGACCGGTGCATTAGTTACGGCTAAATTGGTAATGACGTTTTCATTCTAATAAATGATGTGCATGGAGACGTAAGGGCGAGAAAGATCGGCGAAGGAAGAAAGGACCGGAGTGCTCGGAGAGAAGAAAAACGAAAAGAGACAGAGCGAAAAGTCGGTCGTTGTCCAGACGATGATGCACCCTCGTCCTTTCTCTACCGCTCGGTTCTCTCCTTAACGTTTCTCTCACTCACGCACACGCACACTCACACGCATACATAGATTAACATCGTGATGATCCTTTTGCACTAAACCGTCTCCTCCTCCCGGGTGGAGGATTTTCTCATCGTGTGGAAGACTCGTCAGTTTCTTCGAGAGAGGCGCCCTTGGCCCTCTCCGGACCTCTGCCGGTATCTCTGCGGCCCTTACACACACACACACACACACACACACACACACACACACACACACACACACACACACACACATGTTTATGTATGCGTGTGTTGCGTACGTACGTGTGCAAGAGGGCACACGCGTTCTCTACTTCCTTTCGCCGCGTCTCTCGTTCGTACATTCGGTCCCGAAGAGTCGAAGGAAGGCCAACAGCGGCAAGAGAAGAAGACAGGGCGTGGCCGGATCTCCCGCACTGCGAAGCACGTTTATTTGGTCGAGAAATATCTCCTGCGTTCCCTTCGTCGTCACTCATATCATCTCTCTTTCTCTTTTTTCCTTTTTAGCAAATTAACATATTTAGGAGCAACGATTAAAACTGTTTTCTTCTTTTTTCTTCAAAATCTTATGACGTACGTTTATAACCAAGGCAGTATTTTGAAGATATATTAATAATATTGTTATCTCGCATAATTATGTGTGAATTTTTAATTTAAAAAATTTAACGAAATTTATATGGGACTGAAAACTGACTTTTATATCTTCAATCTCTCGAGATCTCAGGCATATGCTTCATGCGTCTGTATCTTCATCCAATCTTGCCTTTTGTAACTTACATCTAGCTTCTAATGGATCTCTGTGCATAGAGTTCCCCTTTTCCTCATTCTCTTTCCGCGCTTTCCAGTCGACGGCTAGAACGTGCACGTGTGTCGGGTTGCATCGAAAGGCGCGTCACGCGTCGTCCGTCGTTTTTCGTAGCATGGAAGAGAATGTGGGCAGAGCGCAATGAGAACGGCTCGTAACGAAGGAACGAAAATAGCAAAGAGGAATAGAGAGAAATGGCAAGCAAGAAGGAAGATGGAATACCAGCGCGAGGAGGAATAAAAACAGCCCTCTTCTGCCCCTTATCTTGCTCTCTTTTTCGTTTCGTTCCCTCCTTTCCATCTT